GAAGAAATAAAATTGTTCCTTGTTACAGACAGTGTTCTCATCTATATGGAAAATATCAGGAAATCTACAAAAATAAAACCTAGAAAACTCCTAGAATGAATACATTTAACAAAGTTACAGGATAGAAAGTCAACACACAAAAATCAATTTTATTTCTATATGTTAGTAATAAGCAATTGGGAATGGAAAAGTTTTTAAAATATCATTTCCAGTAGCTCCAAAAATGTGAAATACTTACAAATTTGGCAAAAATCATATACAAGATCTGAAGTTAAAAATGACTAATCACTGATGAAAATAATCAGAAGATCTAAATTCATAGACATAGTAGGTTCATGGTTAGAAGATTCAACATAGGTCAATTCTCCCATAATTTATCTATAGATTTACCATAATACTTCCAGAAAAGATTTTTTTTTGTAGATTTAAGCAAGGTGCTTCCAAAATTTATATGAAAAGGACCAAGGACAAGAATAGCCAAAACAATTTTGAATGGAATGGAAGGAAGGAAGATTTTAGGAATCATGCTACCTGATTTTAAGACTTACAATGAAGTCTTATAATTGAGATAGTGTGGGACTGAAAAAGGAACAGATGGATCAATAGGGCAACATAGAGAATCTAGAAATAGATCCACACAAGCATAGCCAGTGGATTATTTTGGTAAATTTGCAAAAGCAATGATATAAAAAGGGTAGTGTCTTCAACAGATGATGGTAGATCAGGTGGACATCTATATAAATAAAGAACCTCAATCTAAACCTTACAATTTATACAAAAATTTGTTTCAAAATGGATCATGTATCTAAATACTATCAAAATTATAGAAGAAAACAAAGGAGAATATTCTCATGACTTTGGGTTAGGCAGAGAGCCCATTCCCCCACTTTATGTCTTTGAGATTCTTCCAACGTGTGCTCTGTTCAGTAGGTAATTGATGTTTGACTTCCTGGAGATAGTCTTCGTGACCAGCACTAACTGAGCAGTTACTCTGAGTCAGAGATTGTTCTAACTCAGTCCCTACAACACCCCTGAAAAACAGGGACTACAGTACTACAGTGCTATCTCATTTTTGAGATGAGGATGCTGAAGCATGGAAAAATTCATGAAGAACCCCAGAGTAAATTCCACGAGCCACAGAACAACAAAAGCTCTGGGCAGCTTCTCATTAGACCGGCTGTTGCCCACCACTCTGTTCTGACATCTCACCCTTCTCATCCTACTCTAAAACACAAGTCAATAGTATTAGTGGCTCCTGTGACCCAGACCATGTACTTTGTTTGTTTGTTTTTTCCTGTGTCAGTTTTATTCACAAGCCCACATTTAAATTGGTGGGGTTTTTTTGCTGTTGAATAGCAATGTTAACCCACTTGAATCTATTTAGCGCCATCTCGTGTCTGTAGTGGGTTTTACAGAAAGCAGTGCTACAGCACTAGGAACAGAAAGCTCTATTGGGCAAGCTTTTGTTTAGCCAAATATTATCACAAGTCAGTGCGATCAGAAACTTGAATTCCACTGGATGTGAAATTTCTCGTGACCTCCTGCAATGTGATCAGTTAATAGATCTGGGAGGGAAACAGATCATAGAGAGAAAACATAAAAATTCAAGTTAGCTTTTACATCTCACTTTGCCTTCCTTTGTTTTGTAGCAGTGTCTTGGCTTCCTGGGGTTTCTGCAGTCCCAGAGGCCCTGAGAGGTTAGGACGGAGACCTTCATTCACCTTTTCAGCCTGGGCGGGTGGGGGAGGGCTCAGGGGATGCACCTGCCAGAGGCCAAAGAGTCTGTTCGTTTCCCCTGTGCTGTTAGGATGATTTAGAAGATGCTGCTAAAATCTGCCTCCAGATTTGCGTCCTTTTTAATCTAATGTTTTCCAATTACAGTTTACATTCAGTGTTATTCTGTGGTAGTTCCAGGTGCACTGCAGAGTGGTTAGACAATCACATACTTTATAGCGTGCTCCCCCACTCTTCTCAGTACCCACCTTCCACCACAGTGGGGCTCAGATGGGAAAAGGACGGTGGTGCAAAGTCCCCTTCCCTGGACATTTGCCAGCTTGTTTTGGGAGGGAGAGGAGGAAAGAGAGGGGAGAAGGGGAAAATGGGGCAGGATGCGCTGAATTCTCAGAGTGCCTCCCTGAAGAGGAGGTGGGAGGGGTGCACTAGTAAAAAAATTCTAAAAACAAAAAAGGCACCTAGCCTTAACCCATGGCTCAGTTGGTTGGGTGCCATCCTGCAAAGCAAAGGGTCACTGGTTCCCTTCCCAGTCAGGGCACATGCCTGTGTTGTGGGCTCAGTCCTCGGTTGGGGGTTCAGTCCCCGGTTGGGGGCATGCGAGAGGCAACAGATGATGTTTCTCTCGCTCTCTTTCTCTCTGCCTTCCCTCTCTGTAAAAATAACTAAATAAAATCTTTGTAAAAAGCATCTAGTATTTTATATTATGCACTCTTATTTTTTTATGTATTGGCTTATTTTTCTATTATAGAAGTAATAGATGCTCATAGTGGAAAAGGGGAAAACAGGAAAAAAAGAACATATACACAATCATAATGCTTATAAAGTGTGAGTTTTCTTCTATGCAAGAAGATTTTAGTGTTTAATTGAATTATGTGATGTGTATTCATGATTTTCCACATTTTATTTATTTTATTATAGACATTTTACAGGTTAGGAATAGCTTTGGAAAATTACTGTGTATGCTGAGTTCTAGAACTATGATAGGATATTTTGATCAGGATACTTCAGTGAGTATCTTTGCTTCATCCTTGTTCCCCTTTAACGTAGGGTACATCCTTAGGATAGATACCCAAAATCACAGTGACTTGGGCAAGAGCCTGGAGAGGACTTTCAGGCTGTGAGGACAGACCTGGGAAAGGAGCCTGCTTGCCCTGGCTGGAGGTGGACCCTACTGCTTGATAGTGATGGGTTTGGGGCACATTCTCTCACTTCTTGGAGCCTCAGATTTTCCTGTGTCAGGTGGGGGTAATAACATCCACTTCACAGTAGGGCTACTGTGTTAATAACATGGGTGAAGTCCCCTCTCAGAGCATGGGACACAGTAGGCACTAAATATATAGTAACTATTTTAAAAACAATTACATCGCTAAATAATTTTATTACAGGATTTGTACCAATTTCCCCTGCCACCAGTAATATACAAAGTTACTTGTTTAACCTCACTAGCAATTAATAGCCTAATAATTTCTTCAAAAGTTACCTCTGATCATTTAAGTAAAAAAGGCCACCTCAGTGTTGTTTTATGTTGCATTTGTTTTTTATTGCAATGAGGACGGATAGCTTTGCGTGTTATTATAAACCAGCTTGTTGTCTCTTGTGAAATGCTGTGGTTGCTGTGGTTGCCATTTAGGGTTTTCTTATCAGTCCGTCTGAAGTGTTTATATAAGGCATTATTTAAACCTTTGTCACATCTGCTGTCACGGATCCTTGTGTCTAGTATTATCTTTTTATATCCAAGTTTGATTTTCTGTGTGTGTAACATATTTCTCATTCAGATGAGAAAGTGGTCACAATCATGATCCCTTCTTTATGAATGCTCTAGATGAATATTTTATTGAGTCTATGATATCCCCTGCAAAAGCGACGGTATTGTGTATTCATTTCTAGCCATCCTACCTCTTGTTATTTTCATGTCATTAAGTTTTCCTGAAACTCTAGGGCGGTGCTAAATAACCCTGGTGTCAGTGGGCATCACTTTTAAATGCTTCCTGATTTTAATAGGACTGGCTGCATTGCCTCACCATTAAATGGAATATGAACCTGTTACTTCCAAAATACGCTGTTTATTGTGTCAAGGATACATTTAATTATTCTTTTTAAATTTTGAGCTTTTACATATTTAGGAGCATAATTTTTTCAGAATGATTATGTGGTTGTGTTATTTGATCTTTTGTTGGATAAGATAGTAACGGTTTTCTAATATTATTATTTTGTGTTTTACTTTTTCAACCAACACCATTTTATACAGACTGTTTCCAACAACCTCTGTATGAACTTGTGTGTGGGTGTAATGCTAAGAAAAGATGAGAAAAATGCATTCATGTATTGAGAATGGTTAACTTCAGTTATGGGATTAGGAATTCTTTTCACTTTACTAGTCTGTGTTTTCCAGTTTTCTAAAATGTGATGTTCCACTGTTACCATAAAAATGGCAATGCTGTGCCAATTAATTGTGGGTGAAGTGAGATTTAGGAGGTCAGACATGATTTTCAGGGAGCCTGCTTGCTTAGGGTCTGTAACTTCTGTTCATTATCTGGAGTCCAAATTATTTTGATACTAGGGAGCTGAAAAAGTAGTTAATATATTTTTTTAAAAGGCAATAACATGGCTTGGATTATCCTTTTGAATAACGGCAATATGTGGTGACTGTATTTTCTTTATAAATTTAGGACTTTGCATTTGAAAAATAATATTTTTTCATGATTTCTGACATTTTAAAATCTGAAAATCTTTCAAAGAAACTACAAACAATATTTAAATAGATATGCATCTCTTATATAAAGGATTCAGAGGGTATCAGCTCCGGATGGTTCCCCAGCCTCTGGAACCCACCCGACCACAGGTGGGGCAACGAGACAGGTTGTGTTTGGAAGCTTCATCCATCTCCTTGACCCCAGCAGGCGGCCGCAACCCAGACACCGTCTCGTGGGGACCTGTGCCTGTCTAGGACTGCACACAGATATAGAAACGCAAAAACATGCACTTATACATCAAGACACAGAGAAACAGCAATCGCTGGATTCGGTGCCTTAATTGCATCTTCCAGACACCAGGAATAGCCCCTGTTTCTTCTGCTGTGGTCGGCACATTCCTCTCTGAAATGAGATTTTGCTAATTTCAGAGCCCAGGCATTCTCCTCCCATTTGGTTCTTAACATACGATGTACTGAAAGTATGAAAATCTCAACTGACATGATGATCGTTGAAAATTATGTTTACATGTGAAACCATAATGTCTTCTTGCTTCTTTTTCTCCTCTCTCTGTAGCTTTGGGCCAGATTATGTTGTATGTGGATGGGATGAACGGAGTGATAAACCACAATGAAACCATTCAGTGGCTGTACACTCTCATTGGGTCAAAGGTAAGAGAAGGTTTTACTTGAACATCTCCTTCAGTTTTAGTATCATAGACCTTTCTTTTTGTTAGCCTGTCTGAGATGGTTTTGGAGAAAGAAATCCTTTTTAGCTTGGTTCCAGCCTTGTCATAGGACAAATGAGGACTCCTATTTTATGGATTTAAAAATACACTCAGATTACAAGTGTTTATGACTCTAATGCATTTTGTTTCCCTATTTTAAATGCTTTAGTGGCCTCCAGTTTTGTGTTTAATTGAAAAATTATACCATAGATGTAGTACAGATCTGCTGTATTTCATGTTCATATATGTTTAGTTACTGATGTGCATATCTGTGTGTTGTACAGATACATATGCATGTTCCTATATATAGATGGAAGACTCCGAGGCTGACTTTCAACTCTACCATTTGTTATGAAAATAACCAACATTTATTAAAGATTTGCCAGGCAACAGACACCAGAGCAGGTTGCTTTACAAACATTATCTCCTTTAATTCACTTGAGACCAATATAAGGTATACACAGTCTGCCCTGAAAAAGTCCAGTCATTTGTTAATATAATGAGAATGGTTTGCCTGATACTGATGTAACCTGGCAGCCAAGAAGGGAAGGAGAGTGGACTGGAATGTGCTTGTGTGAACAATGACAACTTCACTATACTAGTCAGTGGGGGCAGTAAATGCTGCTGAGTGAGCATGTGTACTGTGTGGCTGTCACATTTAAAATGAGCAAATAGAACAATATATCTGTATCAAATTTTATGTTAAGCTTGAGCATTCCTCTGTAGAAACTATTTCAGTGATTCAGAAGGCCCTGGCTATGGGCAACTGGTGGTTGGCAGCTTCATCATGACAACGTATCTGCTCATGTATCATGTCTCGTGCAGACTTTTTGGCAAAACATCAAATCACTCTGGTGACTCAGTGCCCCCTACAGCCCAGACTTGACACCCTGAGACTTCTGGCTTTTCCCCAAACTAAAATCACCTTTGAAAGGGAAGAGATTTCAGACCATCAGTGAGATTCAGGAAAATATGATGGAGCAGCTGATGGAGATTGGGAGAACTCTGTGAGGTCCCAAGGTGCCTAGTTTGAAGGGGACTGAGGTATCCTTGTCCAATGTACAATGTTTCTTGTATCTTATATCTTCTTCAGTAAATGTGTCTATTTCTCATATTGCGTGGCTGCATACTTTCTGGACAGACCTTGTATGATGTTAGTTTACCATCTTGTAGTGGAGGAAATAATGCTTAGTTGTGAAAGTCTATCCAGTTTCCTCCATGGATATTGGCACGTGTCTGCCCGCCATGCCTTGGCTGTGAAGCCCTCACACTGTGTCAAGGAGGCAGATTCATCCTGTGACCTGAGGTGTTCTGGAAGTGGGGTGAGGCTCTGGCATCATCGTCTCTGGGTTCTCAGGTGGGGCCATGAGGGATCTAGTTGGAGGAGGGATTTGGAGGAAGGAGGAAGAAGGGATTCTGTCCTGAGAAAGTGAAAATTAACCAAGGCTGCATTGGGATGAGTGTGTGGTGGGGCATCATGGAGGAGATCAAAGAGACTGCATTGGGCAACAGGTCCAGCAGAGGGGGCCTAGAGGGCCTGGGTGGGGGATTTGAACCTGATTTAAGCAGGTCAGAGAGTCAACATAGTTTCCTGGGGGTCCCTGTGGAGCATGTGGTCAGCCCCGACTGTTCCCCATCCCTGCATTCATTGCCTCCCTCCTTTGGCAAGCCTGTTACCCACCTCAGCATCATGCTCCAGGTAGTGAGTCACAGCCCTTGGCCTTGCCTTGTACACTGTCTGCTCCCCAGGACCTCCGCTGGATGGGAGGAGGGCTTGACCCTGATTTGGCTTCATGTGGGGAACAGATCCAGTTTAAGGCTGTCCTTCCCTCTCGGACTTCTGTAGTCCTGGTGACTGCGCCCTCTGTGGGCGGAAGGGCCTTCCCTCTGTGCCGGGCACTGGTGTTAGCACCCCTCGGCCCCGGGTTAACCCTTCCATCTTCCTCTCCATGTTCTTTTCCTAGTATTATTTTCCCTGCAATAGAGTATTAGTTTCCCTGCAATAGAATAGTTTTCCCTGTTTTGTAACAGAAACAGCCATGGGTTTTCTCAGGAGACGAAAACCTTTTCTCCCTCCTTTTTATTTGGCTTTGTTTTCTGTGGAAAATGGGAATTGCTCTGTTTACAAACTGCTGTAGGTGACCTTAGAAGCCAAGGGGAGCACTGGGCCACCGGCTAGACTCGGCCAGGCCGAGGGGAGACTTATATCTCATATCCTGTCTCAGTGTTTTATGTCTTTTCCTTCCCTCTCCTGGGAGCCCTCCCTAACCTCCATGATCCTTTGGAGTTGCTCCCTCTCCAGGGCTTTCTGGATGGTCTTGGCACCCCCTAAAGCTAGGGAAATGGGGAGATTTTGCAATAAAAATAGACTTTTGGCAATGTCATGGCCGAATTAAGAAACCTTTATAGCTTTGTTTGGTCATGATAAAACACCAACAGCCAGCCCTATTTTTAATAGTAAATAAAGCCCAGCATGCTTACAGTAGGAAAAGTGACAGACAGTCTTTTAGCTGCTCACTGGTGATGAGGGGGAAGAGAAGGGATCGAGAGGAAAGACACACAGGAGGGAAGAGGGGGAGACGGGAAGAGATGCTCGGAGCGACCACAGTGGGAGAAAGAGAGAGAGGAGAGGAGCGAAAGGAAAGAGCCCTCACGGGAACACCCAGGTCTGCTCAGCAGTGGGAGGAAGACTCCACGCCATCCGTATTGCAACAGCATCCTGTCCATTTTTTCTTTGGAATCATTCTGTTAGAAAAACCACCAACCAAACAAGGAACACACGGGAAAGTCCTCATTGCATTTCTAAATGCCATGGAGAAATCATCAAATTAAAAGCCCTCAAGAACGAGCATGTAGGAATTCTGCTTCCCAGCCTCCTTTGCCTGTGTAGCACACGCAGTGTTCGGGACCCCGGGCATCACTCTGTTCCCTGGGCCTCTGCCCGGGCTGGGGTGTTTGCTTCCTCTCTTGGGGCATCAGCACCGGATTAGTGCTGGGTTTGTTCTCCATCCTTCATTTTCCCAAAGGACGGTCCCTGATAGTCCCCAGCTGCTCTGTTTAACACTGGGCCAGGCTAAGCCTTGTAGCATATGGTGTTAGAAAGGGGACCACGGGTGATGCCCTGCAGCCCGAGTTCACTCACTGTGACGTCAGATGACCCTGCGGGGTGGGCTCAGTTTCAGGCTAGTGGCCAAAGTCAGCAATGGCAGCATCCACCAAGTTTGTTTTCTGTGCGGTGCTAATGAGATTGCCTCTTATTTGCAAAACTAGTACAGTGGCCCCTGACAGTCTCCCTCCTCTCATGCCTGGATAGTGAGGAGCCTGCAAGTAGGCAGGATGCACCAACCTAAAACTCTTAGGCTTTGAGAAGGAAGCCTTCGTTCCTTCCTTAACCATATAAATTGGGTGATATGGCCACAAGAGGTTTTCCCAGTTCAAATAAAATTAAGGAGTTGGAAAAGCCAGGGGCCCTAAGGGCTTTTTTTTTTTTTTTCTAAGAGTCAGATTTCTCAGAACCTAAAAGGTTTACCTGGAGATCCTGTTGTTTTTACCTTAAACAGGCACAGAGTTGATGATGAAATTCTGGGTTAGAGAAACCTTGTCATTCTGTCTTCATAATGCTTCATTTCTCCTTCCATGAAAGGCAATAAGATGTGATTTTGCAGCCTGCCCGTGGGTTGTTATGCAATGCATGTTTGCAGATATTTGAGCTCATAGTCAGAGGATAAAATGATGTATTCGTAGCCAAATAATTACTTTTTAAAAGAAAGAAAAGTTATTTTTAATAAAGTGCTTTATTCTGTTACCAAAGTCCATCCTTAAACCCCACGGTCAGAGCAAGAAGCAGATGCTCACCCTGTGACTTCTCACATGGGAGGCGTTTTCTTTCTCTTCATACATTTGGGAGTCTGAGTAGCTGGGGTAAGATGACTCAGCTTATGTAGCCTAGCCTTTGTCACTCTAACAGTGTGTCTGTCTGTCTGTGTCTGCATGGATCCCCCTCTGGCTCATGGGGCAGGCCCAGGGACCCTCAACTTCCTGAGGGTCCGCCAGGGATGCCTCCTGATGTGGTCACGGAATCTGTCTGATCGGTGGTGCCATCCACCTGAGCTCACTCTGTCCTCTCTAGTTTTCTGTCAGCCCCGTGGAATCTGATCCTTCCAGGTGTGCTCCAGGATGCTGATCACAGATCTCCAGATGTCCTTTGTGCTTGTGTGGGGTTGGTCATTCTTCCCTCCGAGTGCAGCTACTAAACCTGAGCTGAGGGGAGCCCTGGCCACAGTCCCCTTCCACACACATACAGTTACTTAAACATATGAGAGAGCCATGTTCTTTGTCTGTCTGTCTGTCTGTCTCTCTCTCTCTCACACACACACACACACACACACAATCATACACACAGCGGACACTGCTAAAGTTTCTCATCAGGACAGTGAGAGGATGATGGTAAGCGGCACATGGTATATAGAATAGGGTGGTGGAGGGGGCGACATTGACAGGAATGGGAAGCTAGGGGGCTAGTGCAGTATCAGAGCTGTGAGGTGGTAAGGTCGGTCAAGAGTTGCAGTGGAAATGGAATATGGAGATGGCTTGAGGAACAGCTTCCTAGATTGGGTTTCTAGACAGGGAAAAATAAAAGCAGGAATCAACAAGGGGGTCGCAGTTTTGAATCTGGGCAGCTAGGAATACGGCATTGCTTCTGGTGAGAGGGGAGAAGCTGGAAATCGGGGTTCCTTGGCAGGAAGGCTTTGACATGCTGGTTTGGAGATGAAGGCAGTGTCCCCAAGGAGACCTAAGTGCTACCAAGATGCCAGGTGCTCTGGCAGGTGCTGGCCAGTGAGCTCTCCAACCTCAGTCGCTGGCATGTCACTGTCATGGGAGTTACTCAGATGACCCACGCGTGGATGAAAGCTGGAGTGCTTTTTGAGTTACACAATAGAAAAT